TTACATATAAAATTTAGGTGCGTCGATCATTTGACTCAATAATAGAAAATTTTACATGTGACAAATCGTGTGACTGAAATTAAGACTTGTATGATGAAACGTAATATGCATATTATTGCTGATCAATATCGATCATTGAGTTTAACCCAGATATTGAGTGTCATAAATAATCGTGAAAAAACATGTTCGTTCGTATGGTGACCATGCGTTTCGGTTCAAATAACATAATAGCAAAACCGTGACAGTATACGAACTGGTTTAAATGTATCAAGAGTATCGTACTAAAAATTTTGTCCCATAGAAAAATAACAAATTAAAAGGATATTCATTCACATACATGCGACGACGAAAATATTTCTATTTTAGTTTTTATTAAATCAATGAATTCTTTTATTCTAGTAATTCCGATTGAATGAATGACTTTGATATAATTGATTTGATCACGTGAATACATTTTCATTAATTTAAACTATGCGCATGCGCCTAATGTCGCTGATTATAATAACGACAACCATTGCAATTACGATTGTGTAATGAAATTTAATCACCAAATGTAACCTCTAAATTATTTATTTTTAGACAATTCTGTGTCGCATCGGAAAGATGAAACAAAAAGTCCTTTTTCCACTTTTTCATAATGATACCAACTTTAAAGTTCAAGTATATAAATATCAAGTAGAAAGATTGTTAATCATTATCCTTTTTATCCTTACTTTTGAGAAGGAATTGTTTTTTTTGGATATTGAAAAAAATCCACTGTGATAAAAAAAATCGTTTTAAGCGAACCCAAACTATTTGACATTCACTTATAAACTTTGTCTTTTACCTGTATCTAATTATCCAAATCAGCATTCACGAATTCTTTTAAAAAATACCTAGATTACTTTAAAAATGGGAGAATCAAATTCCAACTATATCTCATATGCTACATCTAATAAATGTCCCGATGATTGTGGTCGATGTAATATTTGTATTGCGAATAATATTTGGGTTTGTGCTAAAGAACATAGAGGAAAACTTAGTACCAGTTTGTCTAATCTCGTGAAGGAAAAAGAGATTGAAGAAATTGAGAAATTGCATAACATTTGCGGTAATAAAGAAATAGCCGAGTTTCTTTATAAATGCAAATGTGTAGATAACTCTGTGACTAGGTGGATTCCTTTTGATGAGTTTGAGGATATTGAATATTTAGGTAAAGGAGGTTTTGGAATAGTTCACAAAGCAACTTGGAGTAAAGCTATGTGTTTGTTTGGAAAGTACGTTAGAACAAGAGTGGTATTGAAAAGTTTAGATTGCGATGTTTCAGCAATTTTAAAGGAGGTAAATAAAATTATATTTATTATATTGTATACATTGTTATTATTTATTTATTTATTTACTTTTAATAATCCTTAGCTAAAACCATATTATGAAGTTAAAGATACTTATGATACTTATGATTATTTCATGATTAAATGTTATGGAATTACACAAAAACCAAATACAAAAGAATATTTGATGGTGATAGAATATGCCAGCGAGAGAGATTTACATAATTATTTATTAAAAAATTACAAAGAATTTACTTGGAATGATAAAATAGATTCACTCCATGAAATTTCAACAGGGTAAGTTTTAATTTTAATTGTTTATATAAATATTAATAAAATAATAAATTATATTCTTTTTTTGATAATATAGATTAATGCAACTTCATTCCAATAATTTTATTCATCATGATTTACACAGTGGCAACATTTTAATAAATCAAATATCATTAGATATTATTGCTACTTTAATAGGTGATTTTGGATTATGCCAACCTTCTAATGAATTTAATAACTCGGAGAATGTTTATGGCGTTATTCCATATACAGCACCTGAGGTGCTATTTGGAAAGTTCTATACAAAAGAATCTGACATTTATAGTTTCGGCATGATTATGTGGGAATATACTTCTGGTAAAAAACCATTCTACGATAGACCACATAATACTGATCTTATAGTAGCTATCTTAAACGGAGTAAGACCTGAAATTACTGAAGATACACCCGAGTTTTATTATGAATTAATGAAAAAATGCTGGGATTCTAATCCGCAAAAAAGACCAACTGCTGAAGAGGTCTGTCAATGTTTTTATGATCACAATTATAAACATAGTAAATCTGAAGAAAATAAAAAGATCATTGAATCAGCGGAATTAAAAAGAAAAGAAATAATCGAATTAAAAAATGTAAAAGCTTATAGACATCACCCAGAAGCAATTTATATAAGTCGCCCATTAACTAAATTAATTCAGAGCTTACTAAGTAATCCTACTAAGTTTAGGTTGTTCTCAAGCGCTGAGCTGCTTGAGAACAACATTAAATAGTAATTTATTCAATAATAGCATTTTTAGCAGATATAATGCATAATCACTAGTACAGGGTAGTATTACTCCTGTTACCAATATTAACTAACAATGTTTTATATATATTATTACATTTTCTAAATTCTATTGACATTTAAGTCATCTATTTATATTCGCTAACCTCATTACCAATTTACTTTTTTCCTTAATCTCCGATATTCTTGCTCTAACCAAAACTTATCTCGAACCCCCTCCACGATCATCATGTTTTTCTCCTCCAACTCATCTTCCGACTCTTTCACTTTCCTTCTTAATGCTTCAACTTCTTTAACACTCATTTCTTCTTGAGCTCTCCTACTATTTCCCTCTTCAGTTTCTTCTTGAACATTATTATTATCTTCGTTATCTTTTTTAACCCTATTTATATTATTTTTTATTAATATTACTTTTCTTTTATAACCTTTCTATCTTTTCTTACTCACGAAACATTTTCTTCTTATTTCTTCTACTTGATTTAAACAATAGATTAGTTATTTTATTTATTTATTCTTATATTTTTAATTTTCTTTTACATACTGTTGTTTAATGTAATTTTTATTATATTGACGAGGCATTTTGGTTTATTTTTTCTTCTCTTTCTTTATTAGATTTTATTTTTATTTTCTTTTTGTATGAAATTGAAGTTTATTTAATCGGACAATTGTCATATGGATTATGGCGTAATTAAGCCACTTGAACTCTATGGGTTCGAGTCCAGCTGGGTGAGTTCGACTCTGCTAGGTGCACATAGTATGATGGCCCTTGCAAAATACTGTTTGGATGAGATTTTTCTTTTATTTTATCTCATTATTTTATTCGATATTACTATCTACTCGTAATGTATTTTATTTTTTTTATAAAATATTCAAAATGTTCAATATAAAGAAATGATAATAAATATACGTCAGGGCTAATTTTTTTTGTACCCCAAAATTTAAGGGGTACTAACCGACTAGTTGGGGTTAGATTGTTATT